CGGTGCAGTCAAATTGTGTTTTTGAGGATCTTACAGCCGGCGTTCCTTCATGTTGGTCATGGTAACATTGTGCTCATCAATGTAATGTTGAGGTGTAGAAAACCGTAACATGGCCTCTTGACACGAGTATGTTGGGGTGAGAAACATTAGCTGTCAGACAGTCAGGCAAGTTGTAAAGTGACAGTTTATACAGATTTTCTTTAATACTTTATGTGGAGTGCTCCCGAAATGTCAGTAATAATCCTGCTTTGCAAAGGAAAACTCTGTGCAGCCCAGCTTAGTACAGTAGGTTGGAGTTGAAGCAGAAAGAGGGTTTGTAAACTGGGATGAATGTTTACAACGGACAGTTTGGGAAATTATCTCACAGTTCATCTTTGATTTCTCTTCCAAATAAGTTTACTGACCTCTGGGTTTGTGTACAACTCATCTGATCGTCTGACTTCTCGTCTTCTTGTCCCTTCGGACTTGCTTTCAGTGATCCATCCATCCATCCATTATCCAAACCGCTTATCCTATTCAGGGTCGCGGGGGCCTGGAGCTGATCCCAGCTGACATTGGGCGAAGGCAGGACACGCCCTGGACAGGTCGCCAGACTATCGCAGGGTTTATTTTTAGTGATCTCTCATTGTTTGGTCTTAACTTTGATTAAAATAGCTTTTGCTGTTGCCCCCGTTCACAGCTTTGCTCCCATGCTGGTGCTCCTGTCTGTTCCTCCAAACTCCATCTTCAGTGTATTACATACTCTGACTATGGAGGAGTTGTTCATACAACTTGAAATACCCACTTAAAACATCACAACTATCCTTTTAAGTAGAGTACTTGAGTAGATATACTTAGTTACTTTCCACCGCTGCTCATCAAACCATTCAGTGAGCCCTGCAGTTCTGTATGGAAGCATCTACATTGTGTTTCTGCACTGATTTCTTCAGCATTTTCCTTTCATTTGTCAGCTATCTGTGAATTGGAGTATTACAAACACTCAAAATACCATAATGCAATGCAACAACCCCATTAACTACACCAGATGCAAATTCACAGACACGGTGTCCAAAAAAATGGGTTTTTCTGTTCACACAGTGCAAGTCTTTCTTAACACCAGTGTTATAATGGTCACTTCCTCTGCACATATGTAACCTTTCACACATGCACATCATTCCAGAGTTAGTCAGCTGAGTCCCATAGTTCACACAACCCAGGCTGCACTCATTATGTACAGAAGAGAGCAAGTGGAGATAGAGCGTAAGGACACATGTTGGAATTCCTGTATGCTGTGGATTAAAGCCAGACATCTCTCTTTGTCTCTCTCCAAATATCGCTCAACACACACTCTCACACTCTCACACACAGTGTGATTGTGCATTTCTGATTGTTGGAACCAAGCCAAACATAACACTTGGCTGACCAAGAAACTGGTAGTACTAGGATTATTCAGTGTGGCTTTGTAGCACAAAGGCACTAAAACTGCCTGTGCCAAAGCACACTGTATATAATCCATCGGGCTTAATTTTACTAATCTTTATCCAAAAGTTTGGCGCGCTTCTCCTCACACAGCGTTGCTAACAGCGGCGTGAAAAATACATCAAAACATGCGGCCTGATCGGGAATAGTGTGCTATCTATTTTTCGGAGAGATTCACCCAGCAGTTTTCCCGAAAATCCCAAAAAACTGAGCAACATTTCTCCATTCACTTGAATGGGGTTTCGGCGTGAAGAAAGCTAAAAAAAAACACTTAACAATGTGAGCTCTAGAGCAATAGACAAAACTGGTACTTTTAATCATGTTTCTACGTTAAAGTATGGCTCGTCAATATGGGCCCAAAGTTAACACCACAAACATAAAAAGCACCTCACCGCGTTTGGCAGTCTTATCTTTCTCACGGTATCCATATTTTGGCACTCAGACTCCTGCTAATTTGTTAAAAAGAGGCAGGGGTTTTGTTCAAAATCACTGATTACTGCAACGTTTCTTAATCAGTCTGCCTGTAGCACCAGGTGCGTCCTCACCATGGCAACCAGTTACACATACGCACGCAGGCTCTCTCTCTCTCTCTACACACACACACATGGAGATGTTCAGCCAAAGGCATTGTTAGACCTCCTCTCTGTCGGTCTGTCTCTCACTCATCACTCTGTCTGTCTTTATGTTTCTCTCTCTCTCTCTCTCTCTCTCTCTCTCTCTCTCTCTCTCTCTCTCTCTATCTATCATACAGTCATTCAGGTTTTAGATATATTTAGAGAACCCCCCCCTCCCATTTCAAAATAAAAGCTCCAGAGAGTGAATTCTAACTGGAATGATTGTGACGAAGCCTGCCATTTAATAACCTCTGTTTGTGTGTCAAACATTATGAATATGTCTCCTCTCCCCCTCTCTCCCCCACCCAGTCCCACCCTTTCAAAAATAAAAGCCCCATAGAGTAACTGTATCTTAACATGAAGCTCAGAATGAGGTTCGTACAGAAATGATGGGAGCATCAGCTCCCATAATTTCCAAAGGCTTCTCGAACAAAGATGTATATGTCCAGTACAGAAATGACGGGAGCCATTTGTGGACTGTCCATCACGAATACAAGATTCAATCCAAGAGTATGAATCTAAAATGCAGAAAATAGAGTAGCGCTATCTCAATTGAACCTGAACGACACTACCAGTAACATTGGCGTGTATATATATTGCGACGTCTTCGGGCAGTAGAAGCCACACTGTCAAAATTTTTGCGAAATTTTCTAGTTATTAATTGCACTTCATGAAATGGTCATATTGTCATTCCCAGTGCGTCAAATACAGACATTTTGTCTCAGCCCTTTAGCATTTGATCCCGACGCACAAGGCAACCTTCAGTGTCTGAATGAGATGCACCAGGCTTTCTAAGTAACTGAGCTCTTCTCCTCAGAGCTCCGAAGCTGGATCTGAGTCTGTCCTCAGCGGCTGGTTGCTTCTGTAGGCCCAACTGGAGGCCCCGCTATAGGCAAACCTGGAGGCCCCGTTGGAGTCTAAACTGAAGGAGTTTCTATTGAACCAGCATGATTTCATCTGATTTTCGAACGGAATCCAACCCGGACAAGCATCATAGAAATAGCCAATCTTCTCTCTGATGGTCCCGTTTACTTATGAAGGTCATATAGAGGCATCAGGACTACATTAAGACTGTTCCATTACCAGTTAAAAGTTCCTCACAATAACTTTAAGTTACGTAACAAACAGTTATTTTAACCCAAACCATGATCTTTTACTAAACGTAACCAAGTAGTTTTGTTACCTAAACCGAATAAACTTCAAGCGGGACCCAGTTGTGTGAAGCCAAGTGTGATGAGTTGGAAATGAGAACGGGCCCTGAATGTACTTTTTTTTAATCTGAAGATATCCTAAAGATTCTTTGAAAAATAAAATCTTGACTAAAGGTCCTCTTACTAGCTTTTTTCTGGAGTATCCAACCACATCTCACAGTTTTCATCATCTTCAACAGCAGATGGAGTGTCCTGAGTCTGGAAGTTCTTTGACTTTTATCCACTGATGTAGACTATAAATAGATTGTGGCTGAAAGGCCAGGAAACTGCTCACACCTAAAACTTGAGGTTTTGTTTTGTAAAACTGGAATAACAATTGAATTTTTTTTAATAGTTATAAAAATGTTGAAAAAAGAGAATCATTCTTTTTTGAGCCAAACTGTAAACAAAAATATAAATATAAAAACAGGATGCTACTTTGTGCTTTTAATGTACTTTAGAGACCAGATCATCCCGACATCTGTTGTCTTCTGTCAGCCTCCTCGTGGTGTTGTCATTCCTGAAACCAACTAGAGGTCAATGCTTCTTCTCTTTGCCTAAACAGGAGAAGTTTGGAAGGAAAGCAAACAGGGAGGAATGTGAGGCATGTGATCTTTATTTCAGGGGTCAAGATGTTGTGTGCGCACTATAAAATCCTCTGACCAAACATGAGCTTAGGCGCCTGCTCTCCATGCACACACACGCGCACACACACACACACACACGATTTTTATTTAGAACCTTCAAATGACTTTTCCTGTTCCCTTAAATGTATCATTTATGTTTGTCAAAGACAAGACTAATTAGAATTGATGTGCAGCATGGAGCATACGTTCTTATTTCACTCCACTATCAAGATAAAATGGCATCAACCCAAACAGCCCGTAGACATTGTCCATCAGCAGCACATACACGCACCGAACAGTCAAAGACGGCCAGCAAAGACAATACTGAGAGTTCGGGGAGACAAAATAAGTTGTGTACCAAACAGACTTTCAAACATGAAGTACAGGAAGTCTTTTCTACCTGTGGCCATCAAACTATAAAGCTCCTCCCCCTTCTGCAGGAAGGACAGCTCCATCCTCAGACACGTACAACAATAATAATCTGTATGTATGTACATTTTGATATTATTTTCATTCATCTATGTGCAATATAACTGCAATATAACTCTGGTGTTAGTACACTGTAAAAAAAATTCTGTGTAATATACGGTAAATTACCGACAGCTGTGGTTGCCAGAACTACACCGTAAAAAATAAAGTGAGAATGTATAATACATCACGGTATATCTTTTTTGCAACCGTAGATTTCAGTTGAGAACAGTTTTTTGTTTACGGTAAATTACTATAAAAAACAAGAGATTTCATAAACATGTTTACGGTAATATGCAATTTAACGGTAAATTACTGGCAGCTGTGGTTGCCAGAACTTCACCGTAAAAAATAAAGTGAGAATGTATAATACATCACGGTATATTATTTTTGCAACCGTAGATTTCACAGTTGAGAACTGTTTTTTGTTTACGGTAAATTACTATAAAAAACAGATTTCATTAACCTGTTTACGGTAATTTGCTTTAGAAATAACAGCCATGTTATAAACGTGTTTACGGTAAATAACTTTATAAACAGCAACTATACTGTGAAGCTAATTACAGTTTTTCTCAGTAAAAAACACAGTACAACTGTATGATACATTACGGCATTTTATTGAAAAATGCAACTTAACGGTAAATTACCGGCAGCTGTGGTTGCCAGAACTTTACCATAAAAAATATAGTGACAATGTATAAGACATCACGGTACAAAAATACGGTACAACGTAGAATGTAATACAATTGGTTGGCATAGATTTCAGTCAACTTCTGATTATTGTAAATTACAAAGGAAATATCAAATAAAGCATATTGTAAATCAAGGTACAGACCATCATTGATATACCTTAAGAAACTAACATTCTCTGTGAAAAACAGGTTGAACTGATACAATATCTTGTACAATATACTCACAAAGCAGTGTTGAGATCTTGAAGAAACAGCATGTGTCCATATATATGAAGGATAACCATGAATAAACATGAAAGGATTAGCCACTTGCCCTGAGTTGATCAAGAGTAATGAGTCACTGAGTCCAGACTTGACTGAAGAGGGCACTCAACATGGTATAGCGTCTCACATGGACATGAAGTTCAGGAAGCTGGAACTTGAAGCGTGTATTTTCACCAGTTCTGCTTGAGGACTCGTATGTTGACCATCAGGTATTCACTGTGGACTGGAATGATCCTCTCTGCACCCAAAAACAGAAACAAAGGCAAAGTTAGATTGATGCAGTGCTTCAACATGCCTACACAGAAACATTTACTGCCTTCTGCTGTTAAACTGAGCTCCAATGCCCTAGAAGAAACCAGCACTTTATACTTAATAAAAAATAATAACTATCAGGTCGAATGGTAAAAAAACTACACATTTCAGCACTAAGGCATCATCAGCATGTGTTTAATTTCTGTCGACAGGCAGCCTAAATACACAGATGCCTCCAAACAATACACTGTGTGCACAATTATTAGGGAAGTTGTATTTTTGAGGATTCATTTTATTATTGAACAGAGCTCTCGGTCAATCCAAAATGTTAATAAACCTCAAACCTGAATATTTGATAAAGTAAAAGTGAGGTTTTGGCTTTCTTAGGAGAATATCTATGTGTGCACAATTATTATGCAACTAAATGAAAAATGTTCCCATCTCACTTGTTTATTTTTATCTGTTAAAGTGAGAATAATAAACAAACAACTCAAAATTTACAAATAAACATTATTGATATTTAAAAAAAAAAATAATCTGTGACACTATAGCCCCCCTTCTTTTCAGTAATAAGCCTTCCATTCATGGATTCTGTCACTTTCTTGATCTGTTGACGATCAACCACAGCCTCCCAGGTGGACTGTTTTCCTTCACCGTAAATCTCCCGTTTAAGAAGGGCCCCGCAAGATCTCAATAAGGTTTAGGTCAGGTGAGGAAGGGGGCCATGTCATCATTCTTTCATCTTTAAGGCCTTTACTGGCTAGCCACGCAGTGGAGTACTTGTATGCAGGGCAATGGAGCATTGTCCTGCATACAAATCATGGTCTTCTTGAAAGTTGCAGACCTTTTCTGGTACCACTGCTTGAAGAAAGTGTCTTCTAAAAACTGGCAGTAGGTTTGGGAGTTGATTTTGAGTCCATCTTCAACCTGAAAAGGTCCAACTAGCTCATCTTTAATAATACCAGCCCATACCAGGACCCCACCTCCAACTTGCTGGCGTCTGAGTCGAAGTGGAGCTCTGTGCCCGTTACTGATCCAGCCACGGGCCCATCCATCTGGACCGTCAAGAGTCACTCTCATCTCATCAGTCCATAAAACCTTTGAAAAATCTGTCTTCCGATATTTCTTGGCCCAGTCTTGATGTGTCTTGTTCAGTGGTGGTCGGGTTTCAGCCTTCCTTATGGTGGCCATGTCTCTGAGCACTGAACACCGTGTACTTCTGGGCACTCCAGGTAGGTTGCAGTTCTGGAATATGACTACTGGAGGATAATGGGTTCCTGGTAGCTTCACGTTTGATTCTTCTCAAATCTTTGGCAGTTAATTTGCATCTTTTTTTCTCAACACGTTTACTTTCCCTGTTGACTATTTGCAACAAAACGTTTGATGGTTCTGTGATCAAGCCTCAATATATTAGCAATTTCAAGAGTGCTGTATCCCTCTGAAAGACTTTTATTTATTTATTTATTTTTACAATTTTTGACTTTTCAGAGTCAGTTAAATCTCTTTTGTGGCCCATTTTGCCTGAGGAAAAGAAGCTGTCTAATAATTGTGCACACTAATAGTTGCCCAATAATTGTGCACACATAGATATTCTCCTAAGAAAGCCAAAACCTCACTTTTACTTTATTAAATATTCAGGTTTGAGGTTTATAACATTTTGGATTGACCGAGAGCTCTGTAGTTGTTCAATAAAATTAATACTCAAAAATACAACTTGCCTATTAATTGTGCACACAGTGTAAAGACAATCATCATGTTTGATACAACCACGGTATCTGCACATCTTATTAATTCCATCAATTAACATTTTTTGTTTTAATTTTTTTAATTCAATGACTTTTAAGACCTTTTAAATATCTCTAAAATCAATTACATTACTGTTGCAAAATAAATAGAGAAACTAGAATACAGTAAGCTGTATCCTGTTGTTGAGTTGTATTGCATTTGAATAACTGAGCTATTCAGTGTACAATAGCTAATATAACTGCCTTCTCGTTAACAAAAATCAAACTGTATGGCGGAGACCCAGTTCAATAGGAAACAATGACCCCCAGCATTTACCATCAAATAAACATAAGAGTGCACTGTAGGGCCCACTTGGGTGCAAAGACACAGGTGCAAACCCCTTTTGGGTGGATTTTGGAAAGATAGTACACAGAATTAATGACATTTTACTGCTACGTGAAATGTAATGCAAGGGGGATATCAGTTCAGAGCACTAAAAAACAAATAGTACTAATACAAAACTATATTCCAGTGGTTTCATCTATGTTTGCATGAAGCGGTTGGCTCAGACCGTGCACCTGAGGATGATTGATTGAGTGAAGTTTGAGTTGCACCTATCGCACTGCTTACCTCTAATTAGCCTTGACAAGACTGGTGTCTGAGTCATTGGGTCCAGACTTGACTGAAGACAGGTGGGACAGAGTCTCATACAGACAGGGTATGCTGTTCAGGAAACTGGAACTTTAGGCAGGTGTTGTCATAATTTCTGCTTGAAGACTCACAAGTCAATCTGGTGTTCGCTGTGGGCTAGCATGATCTTCCAGCCAGAAAAAAAGACAACATAGAAAACATTAACAATACTAACAATAATAATAACAGTAACATCACCAATAATATAACTTTATATAGCACTTACACAGTTGCAAAATGGTTCTCATACTTCACACAAAAAACCATCAAACTATAAAAACACAAAACATTAAAGAGGGTAAAACAGAACAAACTTACCAAAGGGTAAACAAAGAGTAGGGTTAAAGATTTCATAAAAAGGACAAGCTACAAATATGATTCATGAATAAGAAATAGCCATAATACATATGGTATGTCAATAAAGTCAAAATAAATTCACAGTATGTCAAAAAATGTTATTCTGGCAAGAAGTTAAAATCACATTGGATTATGAAATGCCTAGGTTTATGCAGTACTTAACATCAACAATACATGCATACACTGTTTGAACATGAAATGGCTACACAGTGCTTACAAAAATAGAAGACCCTAAAGCCTTCTCTTGTTAAATGAACATACATTGAACTTTACAACAACTTACCTCTGTTTATCCTTGACAACACTTGTATGTATCCGATCATAAGGTTACACTAGTAGGACAGCAAAGAGGGTGATGAGGTCCATCTGAAGTACAACCGCTGGTAGTCGTAATCACACCTGAAAGAAAGAATAAAGAGAAAAAAGACAAGGGGTGGACATACATCCTCTTAAGTGAAAGATGAAATCATCTCAAGCATCAACTTTTACTCTTTTCAATGCAAAGGTTGCAAATTAAAATGAAATGGCTAAATTCACACTCAAAAATAAAAACAGTGCCTCACCTGGTTTAGCCCGTACCACATATTGTTATCGCAGCAACAAAGGTTTGATTCCCGTTGGGCCATGTGTTGCAGATCATCCCCTCTCACTCCACTATGGTTCCTGTCTCTCTACTTCTGCTGTCCAATAAAACACGAATGACAAAAAATCATCTTTAAAAGTAAAAAAAACAACTGCTTGCTTTGGGCATTTAAATGGATTAAAATCCCACCGTTTTCCTGGTTGTCATAAAAGCCAGCAAGTTGTTCCCATCCAAGTCCACAACCACTAGTTTGAATGCAATGTCTGAAAGGTGGCAGGAGCAAATTAATTCAATGTTGCAAGATTAGAGTAAATTGTCTTAATTATCTGCACAAACTGCTCTTGTACCAATTAAAATGTTCAGATATTTGTTAGATATGTGTACAATTTACTTACTTTAAAGGAGATTCTTCTTAGCAATGCCACCTGCCTTCGACCTAGAAGTTTCACAAAAGCACTGGAACAAATTCTCTTTCTTTTGACAGACATTCAAGTATTTCAAAGAATTGAATACTGACTTGAACTTTACTCCTTCCACATCTGGTTTATCTTGGGTCTGGAGGCGATCAACAGCAGAGTTGTAGCTGTCAATGGTGCGCTCTGCTCTGCACAGATTTGGATCGTCACCCTGAAATTCAGATCGGGTTATTAGGCAGTACCTACAGAAATATTGCGAGTGACTGAAATTTTCAGTGAAGGCACCAATGCCATGAGAGCCCAAATTATCTCCTGCAATGCAATATAAGGTTATTTTGACTACTGTTTCATCTGATACTACGATCCCGTTCTCCTCCAAATCCTTCAAGTCTGTTAGTAATTCAGAGAACACCTTAGCATGCCCAAATGTTTTGAAATCTTTCTCTCTACACAATAAAACAAGTGACATGTGGTTTGTGTCAGACCTTACATGAACTGGCAAATTATCATCAGATACATAGACAGCTAATGTTTTATGTATTGTCTTTGCAGAGCCTAAAGGGTTAACAACTTCAAAAGCATCCTGGTATAGTACTAGTTTGAAGCATGATGGATTTTGACCAAAGAAAATCATTGGATTTCTGACCATCACTAATGTCGCTTAGAACATCTGACTCTGAGGGAGACTCAGTTGAGTGCTCTCCTGACACACAGTTCTTCCACAGATCAGATTCCAACAAACACATTAAAGTCTCTTTCACAGGCACATAATATGCAAACATATCAGTCCTGTTCTCATCTCGTCCTAAAAACATTTTCTTAGGCTCCACATAGTTGAACCCTTTTTTGAAAGACTGAGCTCTTGAGTATGCTGTCCTCATTGGCACTCTATGACATGCAGAGAAAATATCAAATTCTCAAAGACTCACAAACTTTGCTGATGTCCTCATCTGATAATGGTGTGTCATTTTTAAACAGTGAAGTTAGTTTGGTCCAAGCAGGTAGTAGAAACTGTCCCTGCAATTTCAAGTAGAATAAACAGAGAAAAAGATCACTGAAGTTTTCAGAAATATCCAGATCACCTTTATCTGTGCTGGTCTTTGTAACATTTTCTGAGTCATGCAGGTGAGGGCCACAGTCACGTGATTCAGTTGGAACAGCTGATGACTGAGGAGAAGCAGATTCTCTGTACATGTCACGAATACTGCTGTCTGCTATTTGTGTCTCCGTGGCATGTGGGCGGTAAATGAAGATCTGACCATGAAAACATTTTACCATCCACTCACTTTAATAATTAGCTACTTTGTGTCTGGACATGTGCGTTCACATAACGCCATAGCACATTTATGAGCGGTAACGTTAACAGACATGGCGCATTTATGAGCGGTAACATTAACAGACATGGCATATTTATGAGCGGTAACGTTAACAGACATGGCGCATTTATGAGCGGTAACGTTAACAGACATAGCACATTTATGAGCGGTAACGTTAACAGACATGGCGCATTTATGAGCGGTAACGTTAACAGACATAGCACATTTATGAGCGGTAACGTTAACAGACAATTTATAAGCGGTAAAGTTAACAGCCGTCCCAACAGTAACGTTAACTGTAACGTTAGCTTAGCTGTAACGTTAGCTGATACGTTACCATTATGCCTCTGGTAGAAATTAGCCTTATAGCTCCATATCTATCAAAGGTCTGCTTGCAACCGGCTTCAACGCACTTAAACAACGTGGTTCATTACGATGAAGTTTGCAATGAAGCACATAACCCCTCGATGTTTTAGCTTTAACTGACTTGCCACAGAAATTACAACGAAACATTTTCCTAGCAAACCTTTGGTAAAGTAAGCTAGCTAATGTTCAACACAGAAACCCATAACTCACGTTACATCCACGAAAAATAAACTCTCAACTCATTAGATAGCTAAGTTAACTTACTCTTAACGTTGAATGACTCGTTTTTGCAAGGGCGACACAAAACTGCAGAAAACAAAGCCTCAAATTAAAATGTAACGTTAGCTAGCTGACATGCTTACCTTCAGAAGAAGTGTGTTTCCAGGAGTCAGGCCGTTGATCATCAGTAACGTTCAGGTTAATATCCACAGAAGAGCTGCGCGCAGTGCTGCCTGAGCGCGCAGAAAAGGCGCTGAAATGAGTTCAAAAGTTTAGCCTCCAACCGTTGCTTTTTTAAAATTGCTCTGTCTGTCTGTCTGTCACATTTGCTCAGGTTATTCACTGAGACAGGCACCTGTTGGTCTTAAAGTGTCATGGGGGAATCTTTAAACAGTGAAACAGCTTCGGTATGATCATATAGGGTGCACTGCACACAGGTTAGGAATAGATGTCACAGGGTGCCATGAAACTGTAGCGAGATCTGCACCTGCAATGTTACAAAATACTAACCAACAGAGATCAAAAGAGGGGTGGGGAATGGGGTGAGGGGTGAGATGCAACTTATGCTCTGCAAAAAAGGATTACAAAACAAGGAAAACTTATGGAAGGTTACTCTCTACTGCTTTGAATAAGCAGACTAGTTTGCATCTAGCACTTATTGTTTTGTTTGTTGGTTAAATATTAGTTCTGACTGTTGAAACAGTGACGAAATGTCTTTCAAAAATTACAGTGTTGGCCTTCAAATTTATCTTATGGTATATTTCCATTATTAGCACAATGGTTCGTACATTTAACCGTGACAAAATGTATTTCTTTTTACTAATAGTACCTGCAAAAACTGTAGTGTTATATTTTATATATTATTGTGTGTTTACAAAAACAGCACAATGGTTAGTGCATTTAACCTTGACAAAATGTCTTTTTTACAAATAATGAATGCAAGCAACATTGATCAGGCCCTCGCACCTTCACGCACGTCGAGGGTACTAGCAGGACTCTAGTTGCCGCGGCCGTGCTTTCTGTGACCATGAGACACTGCGTGCATGAGTTAGACAATATTTCCTGCGTGTACCAGTGGCGTAGCAAGATCATTTTGCCAGGTCTTAAGCCTCGAATGTTTTGAGTTCAGCTCTGAATACAATCATAAATGTAAGCCTGTAATGATCGACAAGAAAACAAATGTTTTTTGAATGCGCTTCAGTGTTTGTAACATAAAAGACTGTCAAAGTAAATGCAGGTGTCCAAACCGACTGTTTGTGGTGCAGCTAGCTCTGACAATCACTGCTGAGTGACTCAAAGCGGAAAGAGTCGAGGAGAAATGGCAGAATGTATAGTTCCATGTGGAAAAAAACAAACCGAAAGGTGATCCCATGTGGTCTAATCTATATCATGAATTAGGTTAACATGACTTCAGACGGGGCCGCTCCGTAGGTCTGCTAACGCCGCTGGACACGCTGCTCGCTAATCGCTCCAATAACAGCTGCTTCCTCTGCAGAAATGCAGACTTTAACTGAACAACAGCTGCTAGTAAAGACAACGTGGGTGTTTATGTCATCGTTTCTAAACGTATGCGTTTACGACTGTCCACAAGAAGAGGTAACTCTGGAGTTTTCAAACAAGTCTACAACATATTAAAAAAGCAGGGCTCTGACATCTTTAGAAGTAAAAGTTGGTCTGATCTCACCAAGAGTACAACAGGGTGTACGCCTTAGGGACGTGAACACCATGCTGAGGTCTGAGTGTCATACAGGCAAAAATCTTTTCTAGACAATCTAGAGGGATTCTGTTCAGGTGACCTCATTGTAGGCCTAGTCCACAATGTGTGTCCAGAATCTGTGGGTTCTGGGACCCATATTTGAGAGATTATGGCCATTCTTGCATATGTCAAATAATCCACTCATATAAGGGAATAAGGCATCAATTAAGCCCTTTGGGGCTGTTTTTGGGGACGTTAACTTGCAGCTACGAAGTCCAGATTATAGGTAGGTAATGGTGACGAGCCCCTCTTTGAAGGAGAAAAGGAGTCAAATCTCTACCCTGATTTAGAGTATAAAAAGTTAGAGAAAAGACTGGTGAAAACTGGTGCCATCTGGTTCGAATCATCTTTGTTGGGTGCATTTGAAAACACTTGTAAATGGCTTATTGTCCTAATATTCACATATGATGGACAAAAGAGGACCCTCTTAAAGGCTCAATTGGATTCAAGTCATTAGCATGCTGCTAACAGAAGTTAGCTTTCCCAAGGGTCTGCAGAGATCTTGCTTTAGATCCTGCATTACGTTATCACAGGGGAATGATTTATGCAAAATTCAGGCAGTTTCAACCTTTCACTAAGATTTAAAGGCCCGTTTCTCACTTGCCAAAAAAAGCCGAAAAATAAGGCTATATGCCTCAATTTTGACCTTTGGGGCTGTGTTTGGGTACCTTAACTTGCAGCTACGACCGTAAAATTTGGGGGAATTCATATTCACTAGCCCCTCTTTAAACAGGAAAAGGATTCAAATCTGTACTTTGATTTAAAGTGTAAAAATTGAGAGAAAAGACTGGTGAAGGCCATTTCGGATCATAAGTACCATTGGGTTAGAATCCTTTCTGTTGGGTGAAATAAACAGTCAATTTTCAACTGATTTTCGCACCATTTAATCTGTGGGCAAAGGTGGAATGACTGTGAGAATTTCATGGTCCTAGCCCATTGTTTCCTATGGGTAATTAGGCCGAATTAGGTCAAAAATCCATAGTTCACTATGGGAAAA